GAGTTATCTTACTAATTTTCTACTTGATTACTTGACGAAGTAAAATATCGACATATGTGAAGAAGTTATACTTCTTTTGGCACGTTTGGAAAAAAATATGAGGGTAAAATTTTTACGATGCGCGCGCACACCGACAGCCAAAAAGGGACATGGCATTCCTTTTACAAACGGAGAGTTGTGACATACGGTTTTTTTTAATATTAAAATCAATCTCATCTAAGACTAGAATACTTGTGTAAAATGCTATTTATTCTGAATTTTATACATGTCTTAAACTAATTGTCAAATTATAATAAATTTTTTGTATTCAGTACGAATATTCAGTAAGTACTTTATGTATAACTTCCTCGTGCATTGAACCTGTGACCGCCTCACAATGTTAATGTTTGAGCCAAACGGGTAGAACAATTTTCATAATAAATTATATACCAGTAGTCTATTTTAAAGCAATAAAATTATTAAGGGTTGACATTGACTGGGACCCATTACCTGCACGACAGCCCATGGGACATACACGACATCGTGGTACATTTTTTATGTTTTTCCATATACCTCAGCAGGGCCGTAGCCTTGGATATGCTTGTTTAATTTACTCACATGCTAACCAATCTTTGAAATTAGTTCTAAACTAGACTGAAATTGGTTAGGGATCTCCTGAAATTTTCCTACTAAGCGAAAGTAAATTATATGCTTTTAATATTTTTCGCTTATGCTATAAGCTATGAAGATGCGATAGCTCAGTGGTAGCGCGCTCGCGTGGAACACCAATGAATGCATGTTCATCATAGTATAGGTATATCTCTGAGAGATGAGATATTTTCCCGGAGTAAAAAATTTCCTATATGTTGACCCGGATAACCAGCTATCATCATAACAAATTTCATCAAAATATTTCCAGTGGTTTTCTCATGACGCTTTCACAGACAGATAGACATACAAACAGACAAAATTCCAAAAATTATAGATTCGGCTTCTGTATCCGATAATAATGATTATTTCAATAAGATTTTCCAAAAAATATTTATTTCGACTCAGAACTTTATTATATGTATATATAAATGTTTCAATATTTTTTTCACTAATTCATTTAATATAGACATCAGTTACAAATGGATAGATGTAACGCCAATTATTGTTTATTTTAAACTAATTTTGCTATGTTCCTGATGAGATGACTAATAGGTGTCTGAGTAGCATTAACCTTTTTATCGAAAAAACAAGCGTAGTCACGCTCAAAAACTATAATAGATAAATAGCCTACTGCCTAACAGTACCCCACGTAGGATTCGTATTTTGGATTTCCAGTAAGTACTGTCATATCGAGTGATGTGACAGTTGACATTGAAATATAAAAGCCGCCTTCAAAATGGCTGTCAGTAATGCGTTTTTAATTCGAACAAGTGTCAATACGACCGTGACCAATTGTCGCGCTGTTTGAACAATTTGTTACTATTTTTGTTATCCCGCTAGTATAATAACTTCGACATTGGTTACGCAAGGTTGGAAAGCTTTTTAATTCATAAAGGTCTTTTACGTAATCGATTGTACGTAAAGTTTTATATTAAATATTTAATTGTCAATAGAAGCAATGTCGATTGGTGTTTGAATTTGAAAATTGGATGATTATTATAATAATAATGATTAGTGGATATGTTAGACTGAGGTCCGAAAACTGAGGTGAAGGAAAAAAGTCTCCACAACGCATTGTGGCTACATAATAAAGGCTATACGAAATCCCCGTAGATTCGTAAGTGAATTTTCAATATTTTGAGTTTAGAATAAGTGAATATTTCGACTTTATATAATCCTCCCAAATATAAAAAAATAATCCAGCGAACGTAGGAAAGGATTTGCAAAAGTATCTCCCCGGCGGGGAATCGAACCCCGGTCTCCCGCGTGACAGGCGGGGATACTTACCACTATACTACCAAAGATGTGATCAGGTTAAAAGTCAGTATGACAATATATTTCAACTAGCGAAACCTAGTGGATAGATACGCAGTTGGTGTCCTGCTATAATCCTCGAAATTATATATTTTTTTAGTATTAAAAATAAAAATAAATCACTAAAACTGAAAAATACAGCGACATGTAGTAAATCCCTAGTTGTTTATAAAATTCCAGTGTGTGTGTGTGTGTTCGTAATTTTTCTCCTAAACGGCCACCTGGGCTGTGGATGGTTCTTGCCTATACCTCTTGCTAGTACTTTTGTCGAGTTCAAGAATTTTATTTTATTTTCGCGACTAATCGAGATCTGGACAATATCTGCCTACCGGGTTGGCCGGTATATAATTTTTTTTTCTATATAATAATTATTATAGTTATTTTATTGACAGTATCGTAGAGTGGCTTGCTGCTGGTTAAATTGTTTTTTTTTGCCCAAGTTGTCTTTGTTTGTGTTATCAACATTACATATTTAATTCAATGATTTTTTGGCAATTTTATTACAGCAAAATAAGAAAAACTTATCGCTTCGATGCGCCTTTAGTGTTATAACTAGAGATAATTATTAAATAAAAATTAAATATCACACAAATATAAGTAGTAGATATAAGTGGTAGACGGCTGTCGTTAACGATATTTGACTGATGATATACCAATTTTGTATTACTATCAGTCGACCATCATATTTGGTCTAATAGAATGTTAGAAGCTTTATTCATATCCCACAGATACTTATACAACACAAAATAACGAATAATTCTAGTAAAAAGAGCAATTTCAATGACCGTGTGTTAAAATTGGAGATCGCATAAAGCGATTCCAACATTCAACGTCAGTTATCGGTGACACCGCTGACCGCTCTTAGCGTATCCTATGAGAAACAGCTATAAATATAACAGAATATAATATAAATAATATTATAAATGTGCAAGTGCGTTTGTTTGTTTGTTTGTTTGTCCTTCTTTCACGTCGAAACAGAGTAACAGATTGGCGTGATTTTTTGTTTGAAGATAGGTGGAGGGCTCGAGTGTGATATAGGCTACTTTGTATCGTGGGAGATTATTTAATTCCCACGGGAAAACACGTTATAATACAATCCTAAAAATATTTATGATCAGAATTACTTGAAACTTGGTATTAATGCTCTTCAATAAAATTAAATAAATACGTATTTTAGCATTTTTCGAAATTCATCCTACAAGGGAGTAAAATAGGGGCTGAAAGTTGGTATGAAACTACCTTTTTAGACATTTTTTTTTTATTTTTAGCGCGAGCAAAGCCGCGGGGCGGGTTCTGCTGGTATAATATAAATAAATAAATTTTAAAGAGTCTTTGTTACTTTTCTTTAATTGGTACAGGATACATTAATAAGTAAGTATAGACTGATATAGTTCTTCATATTATGTGATATGGTGAAACTATCTAGAATAAATAATATGGATGCGATGTTAAGTTTTAAACTAAATTAAAAATTTAATTATTCATACATTTTGAAACATCCTTAGTCTATCATTTGTGTCAAACCTGTAAATACACAGTTGCCGTGGGAAAATAATAAGCTTCATGAAAAGTCCTTAGTGTAAGTAATAAGATTTTCACAAAATAAAAGACTTTTCGTAATAATTGTATATAATTTTCAGCATTACGGATTGGTTTTTGATGGCTACATACCTACTAGAGCGAAAAAGATTTTTTTTCGCTTAGCTTGCTGGTAGAATTTGTAAATATTGCAACTTTCGCTGTAATATTGCATTATTGTTTTTTTTTTTAAGTAGAAAAAATAACACGCTGCTATTTTTGTATTACAGTAAAAGTTGAGTAGAAAATTAAAAATATAAATAATCGTCAATTCTTGAATGTTTTCAAAAATCACTCGAAAAAAAAACATTCAAATCAAAAAAATTGATTATGTTTTTTAAAAATCTGTGGGCCACCTCAAAATGTTGGGTATTTTTTTTATTTTGTTTTTTATAAGCTACAAATTCTACCCCCAAGCTAAGAAAACAATTTTTTTCCCTCTACCCTACTACTTAGGGCACGATTTATACACTGTACAATACTTTAATTATAAACTATGGACTTCTACCCTCCATATTATAAACGTAAAAATAGCAAGATTTTGGTCAGTAAGACATTGAGTCTAACCCACGGAAGGCAGTTTTTGGGCGGAAATAAAAAAAAATAGATATATCTCTCCGGCCTATAGCTACTATAATGCAAAAACAATATCCTCTTACTCCCAAATAATGAAGTAACAATACACTTAAGTCCGCTTTGGAGTATCATTTGTACCAAACTTATTCCCATTAATTATGGAAACCCTCAATCATGTCTACAAAGGCCTCTGTCATTTCATAAATTTCCTAATAAAGGCTGCCAATTAATGTAGGCAGTAGGTACTAATATTAGTTTTCACTTGTTTTGTTTATTAAAATTTAGAAAAAAATATACTTAAGTGTTTTTAGCCGAATAAACATAATAATCTACATATAAATAGGCAAAGTCAAAATTGTTCAGTACCTTTTTCTCCTTTGTTTGTCAACCGTTTTTTTTATTTAGTAGATACTGACAGGCTTTAACATTAACAATAAAAATATTTTGGAAACAGTATTTTTTTATATATGAGGTAGTTTCTATTTATATGTTGTAAGTATATTTCTATATACATATATGTATATGTTTTCTTCAAATTTTCAATTATGATCGAATTTCGACCACTAGGCGAACTTATAGTTGTGTAATACTACCGTTGGTAGGCAAGCTTCCCCACACAAACTTTCAACCCCATTTTCATCCCCTTAAGGGTTGATTAACAAGCAAACAAACAAACAAACAAATCTTTCCTCTTTATAAATCTATATAAATCAGTTATATAATATGATTCCAGCAAAGCAATGATTTCGTAGCATTAAACATTAAAAATTAAACTGAACCGAAAGAAACTGAAACTGAAAGAATCCCACATTTAGGAAGCTTTATCACCTCACCGAATTTGTTTATATAAATTCTTATTTTATAGGTTTGGTAATTAAAAATGTCGTACTGTGACCATAATGATGGACCGTCCACGTCGCGTCACTATCTCCCCTTCCACTCCTAGGAGCCGAGCTATGGATAAATATGAGCAGCTGTCTGTTGTAAGTATTCATTATTATTAGTTGTAATTTAAAGGGTCGCGAAATTTTTTTCAACGGAAGCTATCACCCGCCGCCATTTTGATTTCTTATTCAAAGTAGCAATGCTCAATAAAACCGTATACATATATGTATACAGTATATTTTATAAAGGTCAGGTAAACAAAAAATATTAGCAATATGTAAACCTATATTCTTTATTGCTTATAAACTATGTTGCACAACAAATCGAGGGCAAATATGATGTCCTAAAATGTTAGATTATCGAGATAGAATGTCCTAGAAGTGGACGTAAAGCTCGTATCTTCGATGACGTGATTTTTTGTAAGAAGTTATAGGTTAGAATGTGATATTGACAAAAATCATGATTCATAAATTGTTATTAATTCGTATATAGGTCGGCGAGGGATCGTACGGTGTGGTGTTGAAATGTCGTCGTCGTGACACCGGCCAACTCGTCGCTATAAAGAAGTTTCTCGAAACAGAAGACGATGCCGCTGTCAGGAAAATGGCACTCAGAGAAATTAGAATGTTAAAGGTAAATATCTCATTCTATTATGTACATACATACATATGTATATAAGATACAAACTTTACGCATATTTTAAATTAACGTATAAATAAGAATAATTTGGAGAAAAATATTCATAGCTTATCCTATTACTTCATTTTTATAATTACCGTTTTATTATATATCCCGCAATTCAACTGAGATCGAATTCATATTAGTGACACATTGGTCAGTACCAAAAGAAGGTCTATCAGAAAAATTAAACTTGAATATTTTACTGTTTCAGAAACTGCGTCATGACCATCTAGTGAACATGATCGAAGTGTTTCGTCGTAAACGACGTTTCTACCTGGTGTTCGAATATTTGCATCACACACTACTTGATGAGCTCGAAGCGTCTCCTGGTGGCTTGGGAGAAGATACAGCTAAAAAACATCTCTACCAATTACTGAAGGGCATCGACTATTGTCACCAGAACTCGGTAAGCTTATATAATGAAATGAATTGAATAATAATAAATAAATAAATAATAAATATCACCTCCAGGTAAATTTCTAAGAAATTAATAAAATTTCTAAGAAATCTATTGTTAACTGTAACGCCGCGGTCGTTGAGGGATTGAGTTGGAATTGAATGATTATTTTTTTGTAAGAAAAACCAAAATTAATGTTGGTATTAATTTTTAACAATTGTATGGGTATTGTATTGATCATTACGTAGATAATAATTAAATTGTCTACATCTTGAAGCATTGTATACAACCTACTAAGCTACGAAAATGGGAAACTCTCTCTAGATGCCCCGTAAAGAGTAATTTATAAAGTTTTCAAGATATAGATAGTAGAATCAGTAATAAGGAGTAATATAATCGTGTCATTATTATATATGTATATTTTATATGATCATTTCAGATTATTCATCGAGACGTGAAACCGGAAAATGTATTAGTTTCCAACAATGGTATAGTCAAATTGTGCGATCTCGGCTTCGCGAGAGCTTTGGCTGCGCCCGGCGAGCCTTACACGGAGTATGTGGCGACCAGGTGGTACAGAGCTCCGGAGTTACTGGTGGCTGAGCACAGGTGTGCATTTGTAGAGTTTTAAGCTTTGCAACATTTCTATTTGACATTGAACTAAATTTTGTATACCAAATAAAAAAGCCTTACTTTCTTGAAATAATATGGTTATAGTTTATGGGAGAAGGACGTAACTGATTATATTTACTTCTATTATGAGATATTGATGATGCGTACGAGTACTTTTTAATGATTATGAAATATGTTCTGTTATTTCTTATACTACTAATTACACTAAATTGTTTAGAAAATGTCAAATGCTTAGTATATAGTTACATTCACAGGTACCTACCTACATAGACGCGTTGAAAATTTTACGAAATATGTATATATTTTTTATTCATTAATTATCTATAAATAAGAAATAATAGCAGGGGTTTCTAGACAGTAACTAGTTTTTTAATAAAATTACTTATATAATAATATATTGTATTTCACTTTTTCCTAGGTACGGTCCAGAAGTTGACATATGGGCAATAGGATGCTTGTTTGCGGAAATGTTGACTGGCGATCCGTTGTTCCCCGGTGATTCCGATATCGATCAACTGGCGTTAATTATTAAGACTGTTGGTAAGTTTAGATATAAAAACTACAATAATAAAGAAATTAGTTACAAATTACATCGCCTTAGTGCTAATTGGTTCAAACCTATACTTGTTGTACTTTACAGTACAATTTTTTGTCTATTTAAAAGTTGTTTGTATTATATACCAATAGAAATTGACATTAAAAATCGATTATTCTGCATTAAAAACGTTCGGTAAATTGGTCGTTTAGAGAGTTTTCAATAAGCACTGAGATGACGATTAGTCAAAGTTCGAGTAGAATTGTCTTGTCCACATTACTATGAAAGTGAAGTATTGAGAGTGGAAAGGAATAGAGAGTGTATTTGTATCTATATGTACACTTGTGCACTATAATATCTCCGGCGCAGTTGGCTAGTCTCTAGACCGAAAAGAACACGAGTCACGAGGACATTATTTGTTCATGTCAGCTACTTAACACTAACATGGGCATCTGCTTCTTCACATTAAACTACTAACGTTTAAATAATTAACTTTATCATTTTTATTCATATCTTATTTATCAATCTTTACACAGATATCTAAAAAACAGGGATTATACTAATACAATTTTATTTCTTTAACTTTTTTTATATTGTCCTTTATGGCAATGTGCAATTGCACCCTCTTCCATCCCTACTAGCCCAACTGCTAGAGTATTTGGTTACTGCCTTGAGCCAAGCCTACGAGGCTTGTGTTATGGATACCAGATAGCTGTTGATACACTACACTTATATAACTTTAAACACATACATATTTTAAATGTAAACACCCATGACTAGAGTGCAAACATGCTTATACACAAAGAATGCCTCGAGCGGGACTGAAACCCGCGACCGCAGGAAAAGCAAGTAGGGTCACTACAAACTGAGCCAAACGTCTCGGCATAGTACATACACAAGAAATTTGAAAATACTAGAGTGTGTATATATATAATATAGTATAGAATATGTATGTATATATATAATTTGTTTACCGCCAGGCAAGCTGGCGCCGCGTCACCAGCAAGTGGTGTCGCGGCTGTCGGGCGGCGCCGCGCTGTCGGCGGGCGGCGCGCGCGCGGCGCTGCCGGGCGCGGCGCGCGCGCGCGACCTGCTCGCCGCGTGCCTCCGCACCGAGCCCAGGGCTAGGCCGACTGCTTCCACTTTGTTGAGACATAAGTAGGTGCTAATCACATACATAATATATTTCTTGTCACGGTGTTTGTAGTCGCACTCCTCCAAAACGGCTCGACCGATTTTAATAATTGTTTTTTGTATATTTGGTAGATATGAGAATGGGTCGTAAAGTATTTTTAACCCTTATACCCCCACCCCCCATTTTTTTATCGCGATTTCACGCCTAAGAGTTCTTTTTTGTAAATTGAATGCGAGCGTAGCCGCGGGTTCTGCTAATTTTCTATAGATTTCTTTGTTATTATTTAAATGAGTGGATATAGAGAATTTTCGATGGATGATGTCGGTTAAACGTGGTGCCTCCTAGTAGGGATATACTCGTAATTAGTAGGTCGGTTTGCTTTACTTTTGGACATTATTGAGACGTAAGTAAGCGTGATTTTCTATTGATTTTTTTTTTCTTTCTTTCTATCTTTTTGAGTATACGGATGAAGATGAATACGAATATGTTTCATAGAAACTTACAGATTACAGCTGGGCTTTATTTTAAGCATCTGTCCGATGTGGCTGTGGAAACCCGTCATAGCATCGGCAGTCGGCTGTTACCGGGCGGGGGTTGTAAGATTCTACTCACTAAAACCTACAACAGAACCCTATGTTGTCAGTGCAATGATCATTGCAAAATCGCTTACGTATACGCTACATTACCTCGACGCTTTGTTTTCTCACTACTTCAACAGCTATAACTATAATTTTTAGTTCATCGTTACACTCTGTTCGGGTTTTGATAAGACATAGAGAATTTGTGAATTGAGCAACATATCTGCGATCAGAATAAAAATACTAGGCCTATCTGCTATATTATGCTATCATATTATGTAGCTTATATTATTATTTTAACAATGCAGTGGTAGCCCAGTGGTAACGCGCTTTCTTGGGTAACCGAGCGAAGTGATATTTTCATGTGCGAATCATTTTCAACATGATTACCACTTGCCTTACGGTGAAGGAAAACACCGTGAGGAAACCTACATGTCTGAGAGAACCTAGCAAGTTTTCATTAGATATGTGAAGTCCGCCAACCCGCACTTGGCCAGCGTGGTGGACTATGGCCTGATCCCCCTCGTGCTGAAGGAAGGCCCGTGCCCAGCAGTGGGACGTTAATAAAGGGTTGAATACATTATTTTAACGCTATGTATAATTTATTCAGATATTTTATCGATGACGGCTTCGCGGAAAGTTTCAATGCGGAACTCAGGAAGAAATTGGGCAAAGAAATTGAAGTATGTATTAAATAGAATTTTCTATCTATTGTTATTATAATATAGTTCCTGTGCTACGATTTCTAACAATACCTATTGATTGATTTATTGCACTAATATATGAACCTATATTTATAATGTATATATTATATTCACTGCCTCGTTAGTCTTTTGACCAGGGTGTACGGCTGCAGATCCTAAAGTTCTGGGAATGAGTCCCGAGCGGAACCAAACACAGCTCTTGGGTATTTCTGTCAAGAAATTGTTAGATGCGCTGCCGTGACCGAAATCGGTTCGGAAGGCGTTATTTCTTATTGTATACTTTTAGAAAATTCACTATTTGAGACAAAGTTTGATGATGATGTTCTCCGTGGCCGATTCCGGCCACGGCGGCCAATCTCATTGAGACTAGCCAACTGCGCAGGAGATATTATAGTGCACAAGTGTACGCGCAGACACAAGTGCACTCTCTATTCCTGTCACTCTCATACTCCGGTGGGACGACTGCTCGACACGACCAGTAAGAGTTAAGGCGCAGGACCGACGGCTTTACGTGCTCTCCGAGGCACGGGGGTGAAACACCTCCAACTTCCCAACTCCGGGCTATTACTGAGACTTACTATACAGAAAGACTCAATAACTAAACTTAGCCCGACCCGGGACTCGAACCCAGGACCTCCGAGTGTGCAGCCGTACATGCTAGCCACTACACCACCGAGGCAGTTGAGACAAAGTTTATCCTCTTATTCGAATGCCGAGTTAATAAGTTTGAATATAAGTAATTTCAAATATTTCTTACAAATAGTGCATGTAAATAGCAGTTTTATAGAGATTTTTTATAATATAGTCTCCTCCGGCGCAATCAGCGGCGCGCGTCGCCGGCAAGCCTCGCCAGCAATGGACGTTGAACATAATATCTGTAAGTTTTAGTTAGATTAGATATCTTTGTGAGTGCTTCATCTTATAATTTAGCCTATAGGAATAATATTAGGTTCTCTTCCATGCAATAAGATTTGCGTGACAAATTTCATTGAGATATATTATCATCATGTTTTGCATTTACATATATATTTTATAATATTGGTACATATTTCTTGGTACAGGATCAGAGCAGATCTCGCACAAGCAGTACTGCGGGAGAATCGCTTATTGATTATAACTATACGCCAAGTAAGTTGTCATTTGCTAGAATATCGACTATGTTATCGAGTATGTTCGTTTTTATTTTATTTTTACTAAAATTAAACTTATTTTTTGGTTTAGATCAATCTGATGTCCAAAAATGTGTTTTTTTGAGAATAGCCTTATTAATGTGAAAATAAAAATATGTCATTAAAACAAATAAAATTAGCCAAATACCTACTGAAAGCAATTAAATATATGTTTTTGTGTTTATTATATATTAGCTCATATGGAGACCGCACCAGTCGATAAGAAATTGCCGCCACCACAGCATAATATAGATGAGGTAATTCTTCAGATCGTCGTCTCAGTGCTTAGGTATTTTTCCAAAGGACGAATTTACCGAAAGAGTTTTTAATACAGAATTATGGACTTTTATATACAAATTTAATCAATAAATACAAATTTAACTGAAAAATGTTATTTATTTTACAAATTTGTAATTAATACGTTTTAAAAATAAAGAAAAAAGAACTGTCTTTAATTGAAAAGTACGGCAAGTACGGGTGGTTTGAACAAATAAGCACTAAGGCGTCTAAATGTTACTTAATTTAAACTGCACATAATACTTATACCTATTTAAAACATGTTACATCTATATAAAAAAAAATGAATATTCTTATGTTTGTCCACTATACGTTCTTAAACCATTGATCCGATTGTCCTCAAAAAAAGATTTTTTCTTTGGACGTTTGTCTATTATGCTTTTGCATTCCCAAAACAAACAAGCAAGCACCAGAACGAAGTGAGGGTAAGTGAATGCTAGTTCAATATAAAAGGCAAGAATTTATACCTACTCGATTAAGAACTGGGGTGATGCAGAATCGAAACACGAGCAACCAACAGCGAACCAAACAGAATTTTCAACAAAAAATATATGTAAATGAAAATGTCGAGAGGAAACCCGCATGTCTGAGAAAGCTGAATTAGTTTTTAAAGGATTCCTCTTAATTATGAGAGGAAGCCCGTAAGCAGTGGAATATTAAAAGGTCCATAATTGGCATATCTATATACTAGGTCCTAAAATTGTTGTACATATTGTAAATATAAATGTGAAAGTGACTGTCTGTCTGTTACTTGTTCACGCTCAAACCGCTTAATAGATTTCGATACGATTTAGCAAGCACGTAGATTGCTATATCTATACTATAATATTATAAAGAGGTTAAGTTTGTGAGTTTGTAACGTTGTAGGGGGTAATCTCTGGATCTACTGAACCGATTTAGATGAAATTTGGTAAGAAGATAGTATGAGGCTCTGGGAAGGACTTAGGATACTTTTTATCCCGGAAATCATCCCTTAAGGGGGTGAAAAGGGGAATGAAAGTTTGTATAGGGAAGCAAGCTAGGGACGAACCCGAGCGAAGCGAGGGTAAGCCGCTAGTATAGAATACAAAGGCCACATTTTATCTCCGTTTCACTTACCATCCGAGTGAAGCCGCGGGTAAACACTAATCTTGTCTGAAAATTCTATAATTTGTGAGTGTCGCAATGTCCAGGTGACATCAAGCACGAGTACAGCAGTAGGGAGTACGGGCGCGCTGCGGCCCTCCCTGCCGCGGTCGCTGGCGCGCGCTATAGACGACACCTTCCAAAACTTTCCAGTGCCGGTCAATGCTTATCCACGCACGCCGTATATTAAAAAGTTAGCTCATTTTTGAAATAATTATACTTCTTTTGGCACGTTTGGAAAAAATATAAGAGTAAAATTTTCACGATACGCGCGCACACCGACAACCAAAAAGCGACATGATGAAGTTAGCTGAAAGCGACATGATGAAGTTAGCTGCATTCCTTTTACAAACAGAGAGTTGTGACATAAGGGTTGAAATCTTTAGCTAGTCTAGTCTATAACACACACAGGTTGTTTTTTTATTTTTTATTTTAGGTGAAGGTATTTTATCTATATTTTATCTATATTGTTTACGAATGTGTCACGCGGTATGTCCGCTAATTGTGAATATATTTTCGGAATTCTATTTAAATTAATCAATAGTTTTGTCAAATGTTTTATCTATCATATATTATACGAGTATGTCAAGGTTAGCCCCATATAAATTCAATAATATTCAAAATGCCATTTTTTTGGGTGAAATAATTACTGTTAAGCTATTTGTTAAGTCGATATATCTTTTTTTTAAGTTTGTAAATAATGTATGAGTAAATAATGTATGAGCATTTGTTGCCATAAAATTGGCATACATTTTTAAGGGTTGTTCCGGTGATCACAATACGAAGAGTAGGTATATGGTAACAAAATGCACATTTTCTATTATGAATAACATATTCATTTCGAGGTAATAAATAGTTAAACAATATTAATCTAGCATCTATGTGTATATTTTATATGTTTTCATTCTTTTATTTATAACTAACATAATTTTGTTAATATTATTATATTTCCAGGGTCAACAATAAGCTGGTGATGGAAGACGAGATGTTGCGCGGTCGAGCGGTTGCTAAAAAGGCTAATAAGAAAATGATACCGGACTTTTCACTGCCTTACGTACCCGGAGGTAAACTATACGCTTAAAAAGTATAGTAGGTATATAATATTGAAAGTACTCTAACGAAGGCAAAAATATTATTACTCTGTATATCTGTATCTTCTATCTTTAACTATCTGTATCTCTGTAAAATACCTTATATGGTATTTTATAATAAAATTTAAGTTCATATCTGTCTGTGATTTCAAAGTAACTTTTGTGTTTGTAACAACGTTTTCTTAAGTATATATATGTAGGTATAGTTATATAATATCAGTACCTACCTAAACAAGCTTTATCAAAATTTTGTCTGTCTGTATTTCTGTTTGTCCAGGGTAGTCTTTTCACGGCTTTCACTGAAAGATAGCGGAGTTTGTAGCGCTGCATAAAGAAAATATTAGGTCTTCCGCGAAAATATTCAAAAAACGAAAATCTTAAAAATTACACAAAATTCGAATTTATAATTCTAAGCTACTAGGAACTAGGGAAGTAGCTAGTATGTGAAATATAAACACACACTGCAATGGTATTACATTATGTAACAAAATGAAAAAAAAAATGTACCTCACGGAAACGGTTAAATTCTATATCTATTTGTTATATTTCAGCTAGCAACAGCCCAATTAAGAAGGCGAAAAAACCACCCACATATAATACTACGGCCAAGTCATACGACATATGGAACAACAATGTAAGTCTGACACAAATAGGTTATACTTGTTTATACATTCAAATAAATTGCTTTAAAAATATATGATTGTTTTTATCTGTTATATTTACTAATGAAAAAAGGATGGGAAAAGTATAACAAAAAAATCAATCTATAGGTACATATAATAAAATTGTAACTAAGCCGTATCTGTACATTAAATATTTTTTTTGGAAAATATTATTGAAATATACTTACATTATTATCTATAGAGAGGTCGAATCTATAGTTTTTTTAAATTTTTGTCTGTCTGTTTATCTGTCTGTTACCGCAACACAGAAAAACCACTGGAGGGAGTTTGATGAAATTTGGTATGGTGATAGTTGCTTATCCGGGTCAACATATAGGATACTTTTTACCGCGGAAAAATGTGTCATTTCTGAGAAAAAATACAAAAACTGCATTGTAAGAGTATACTAATATGTAAAACCTAAGAATTTGGTTTTTTGTCATCTGAACGCGGGCGGAGCCGCGGGCAATGCTAGTATAAATATAAAACCATTTTTTATTCCTGAATAGAAATATAACTATCTAGGTATATAAATAAAAATGAATCGCAAAATGTGTTGCTAAGCGCAAAACTTGAGGACGACTGGTCTAATTTGGCTATTTTTTTATTCAAACATTTAGTAAGTATATATTTATAATATTTAGTATTTTTAGGGAAATTATTTCATAAATAATCGTTCGATTGGAATGCTTTAAAATTTTGGTTTTCCAGGTCACGCCGAATTCTAGGACGCCTACAAATCTTCCCTACATGTGACTATATGGACATGGCTTGTGGAGAGCCAGCCATTACTAAAATTTTTGTTATATAATTTTTAAACTATATTTTAAATAATTGCATTGTCTTTTTATAATATATATTTATAAGTGACTTTAAATTCATTTGTGTGATGTTTAGTGACGAGTTGAGAAGTTTTTTGATGACTTGATGAGACTATTAATATTTAAGATGAATATAAATTACGAGATGATAATTTTATTATAATAGGTTACTTAAAGGTACCTATAGTTTATTATAAATGGCTTGTATGTTTAGTTATATCTATTTTATATTTTTCAGTCATAGTATTATTGAAATATTTATATGTAATTAAATATTTACGACACGATGTTGCTATGGATCAGATACAGTGCTACAAGGATCTTTTGGCACTTACATGACAGTGACATGAGGGCGTTGGTGTGAAATTAGGGTTACAAGGTAATAAAATCTACTTAGTTTTAGGGAATTCTTTTAAAAACTCTATCTTTATATTCCGTAATTCAATTTAACTTAGGAAATGAAAAAAATAAAATTAAAAGTGAATGAAATTTAATTACTTAATATACAAATTATTTAATTAATATAAATAAATAAAACATTAAATTTTTTTGCTGTAACTATGTTCTGCATGAACTATGTCAAGAGGTTGCATATTACTAAAGCTTTCCTCATCTTCATCGTGAGAATCATCATCGTCACTGCTTTCTTCACTCTCAGAGCATAATTGTATGAAAAAAGGTTCGTCCAAATTTTTTCCAAGCATAAAATTCATGTATCTTTTGTCTAAGAATACCAATATCGAAATTGTCCATTACAATTTTATCCTTTCTCGTTTTTCTACTTTTCCCTGGTGTAACTATTTTACTGGATGATGCTTCAGCCAATCTGCCTTCATTTTCAATTCTTACAACTGTTCGTAAAGATATACCTGAAATCGTATTTTTTTTTTAAATTTGAAGGACAAAATATGTTTCTTAAGGATACAAAATATGAATTAGTATTCTTGGTAATAAGTAATAACGGGCACACTTACGAGGTATAGTATGATAACACTTACCTGTTGCAGCTGCGACGCGCTCATTTACTCTTTCAAATGGAATAATCGGAGCGCCAGATTGCTTTTCTTTCATAAAAAAAATCCTTTATTTTTAGCACCACCTCTCTAACACCACCTTTGGCATATTTTGAGATATTTATAATGAAATAAAAGCACGACAAACTTATCAACTCCAGCTATCTGTCAAAAGTGACGCTTTACAAGATCCGCCATCTTGTCTGTTAGTTCCGATTTCGGCCACGCGCCAAAAGATCCTTGTAGCACTGTACTTGATACATATAATATAACTTTTTAAATAATTAGTCTATGGACCAATGGCGGCCCTTTTATTATTTTTGTTATCTGTCAAATTTAAGTTTTAGTCCACTGAAAATGCTATTGAAATTTATTTTTAAATATTCATATATTTGTATAGTACATATATATGAAGACTATATGTTGTTAGACTGTATTTAATGAATGCGAATAATTTATCAAAATTTTGAAAGTATGTATTAGTTCAATAAGCGAGTTTAGATGACTTTACGTGAGTGGAATTTTTGTATGGTAACATTTGTAAATATGTACAAATTAAAATTTGAATACACGCGTTATTAAACTCTATATAAAAGTTGAATAGATTTTTATTCATCCTGCCGTTTTAAATTTACTAGTTTAGGATTGTTTTTAATATAAAATATAAATGTGATCAAAGAGCACTATCGTTTGTCTGTCTATCTGTTGCCTTTTCACGCTTAATCCGCTGAACCGATTTAGACGAAATTTTGTATCGAGATAGTTTGAGACCCCGGAAATCATCCCTTAAGGGGGTGAAAAGGGGGGTGGAATTTTGTATGGGGATTAAATAATTTCTCATGTAAGGGATATAAAACTCATCATACATCATATACATATATTACATAGACTAGCCTATGTATTCCATACTAACCGTCATAAGATATCTAGGGACGAACCCGAGCAAAGCGAGGGAACAATTTATCAGGATTTAATTTTAAATAATTGATAATACATAGCCAAATAAAATATTGGCTATTTCTCAAATTTTCTTTTAAAGCACTAACATTCATTGAATGGTCTGCATGAATCCGTGCCGTATGTTTGCCATAACTAATTAGGATTGGCAAATCTTTACAACAATCATGAATTATTAGCGAAAATTGGTGACAAATCTATGAAAAGCTCGCAAAAAATAAACGTTCAGTAATATTTGACATCTCTAGAGACCTCACTCTACACTAGCGCCTCTCGCGGCGACTTCAAGTACAATAGCCTTCATTCCATCTTCGGTATTATTATAAACGTGAATATGTTTTGTTTATGAAAAATGTAAATTAGTTTTATAGGTCATCCTTTATTTTTAATTAATATCTTTTCTTTAAATTATAATATATTATAAGCAATACGCTCGAAATATGTTTAGATGCCTGACGTCTGTGGTGCCTTCACAGTGAAACGAGAAATGAGGTTTTTAGAATAAAACATTTTTAATATTTTGTAAATTTATATATTTTATTAACCTAATTGGCAGTTAATGACTAACAATAAAAAAGATCAAAAATCCTCATACACGCAAATTTTTTGAAACAGAGTCAACTTTGGCTTAGATTTTGTACCCTCTAGGGCTGTCTCGATAATACTGCACATCAAAAACCAATGTTAACTGAATTAGTAATAAATTATTTAAGTTTAAATGGAATCATTTTAAAAATAACACTAAGTTTTCAATCAGCTTGGTCGATCATAATGTTTTTTTTTTTCTATATAATGCAAAAAAAATATAGCTAATTATTTTATTAGCACCGACTTTATCCGTTATTAATCTTATATATATTCGTGAACTAAAATGTAAATATACCACTGAAGTATACGAATTGTTCTAATTTTACAAAAATCAAACTTTTTCTTACTATTCTGGATACATAGGAAAGCATAATTGCATTCTCAAAATTATAAAGAAGTCTATACTACAGATATTCAACAAAAAGAGTCAAAATCTCATATCGAATATAGGAATACAACTTATATCTATAATACATTGACTGAATATTAAATGGTCTTTATCATACAAGTATCCGAACGCGACAACATGGCGGCAGTTATATGACAGAAGATGTGGCGGGAAGACATGGTGTCGTGAGAAGCTCCCCGCCGTTTTCCGTAATCGTTACTTTTTTATGATAATTGATGAGATCGGCTGAAATAAAAACATTTTTATCAGTTTTATCAAAATAAAATATCTAAACTTCTATATAAATAATAAATTTATGTTTCTTTAAGTGTATGTCCTCGATACGTTCTTAGATTACTTGTCTGATTATTATAAAACTTTGCTAACTTTTGTTTTGAGCGCCGTAAAGATTTCTGGCCAAAAGAAAAAAAAAATTTATTGTATAGGTACTTGTCTTGGTAGGTATCTATTAGCGCCGCAACTTAGAAAAGTAAAGGTAAGTCACTAATAGTAATTGAATTGTTTTAGAAATAGCAATAGTAGAAGAAGTTATTTATATTTTATTCATATTTTATAATTGTAGTTTTTTATTAAAATAAGATATGATTCTTAAGATTAAGTTTTAAGTTTAAACACAGATAGAGACAATTTAAATTACCAAAAACCTAATACTTTCTTAGATTTGACATTTTAAATAAAACTATCTTTTCGGATTTTTTCGCGGATTAATTTTAATTTTTGGTTCCCGACGTTTCATATGCTTTATTTACAGCAATCATGGTCACGGGAAAGACTAAGGTAAAGGCATTATATAAATGTTAAAGACAGTGCCTACCCACAAAATTACAAATTTCAAAAATATCTTGATTGCTCTAAAAATCTAAATAAACTCGCCAAAAAAACCCCGAAAAGATAATTTTATTTAAAGGACCAACAACCTCTAGCTATTCCCTCACCTAAAGTTTGATGTGTAATTTGGCCGGCGCCGAGCAGCCGGTAGCCGTCGCCGGCCTCGACCAGGTAGTGCTTGCAGCGCGCGGCGCGGTAGGAGATGGCGTAGCCCCACACGCGCTCCGAGAGCCGCACCAGGAAGCTGCCCTCGGGCTGGCTGGACAGAATCTGTTCGGCTTCTGATCGTGTAATCAGACCTGTAGTTTATTCAAAATTTTATCTATTATTATATATTTTTTATATGTTGGAACATTAACATACAGCACCATCTAGTTCCATAGTAAGCTACGAGGCTTCTGTTATGGATACCAAACAGTTGATACACTACACATTTATAACTTTAAATACATACATATTATAAATATAAACACCCATGACTGGAGTACACACATTCGTGCTCATCACACAAATGAATGCCCTCAGCGGGACTCGAACCCGCGACCGCTGGCACAGCAAGTAGGGTCACTACAAACTGAGCCATTACATTAGAATTAGGATTCCATACAGTGTACTTCCATGCCCCGTGTTAATGCACACGTAATATGTGTGTCTTATAAGTGTTTCTTTTTTCATTTTGAGCTCTATTATTTAATTGATTATTTACTTACCATGGAACCAATCAACAGGCTTGTTGTTCTCGTCCAAGCCCACTCCCCGCTTTAGCTCTTGCGTCCTGAACCACTCCAATACCGCTTCTCTGTTAGGAGGTTTACCAACTGAAAAACAATTTTGTGTCTTATATATGGCACATGGATAATATCAACAAGCTGACCGACGCGGCCGAAATTAGTCAAAGAGGTCATTATATTTAAAAAAAAACACTAATTAATTTACCGTATAACTAATGGTTATAAGAACTCCATTAAATTTAATTGTGGAAAAATACAGAAAAAATTCTGCTTTGATCATTTGATTTGCAAAAGCAATTACCCACACTATTTTGACCCACTATACACCACGAATAATAAACGATTAAAGTTATCTCTTCTTCTTAGAAAAAAATTATCTATAAAAATGCTTAATTTATCTACTATAAAATTGCAATAAAAGATTAACAATTAATCAAACCTGTAGTAAGCGGCGTTGGGGGCAGATGAGTGCTGCGACGGTGAGCCTCCCGCGCCGCGCGTGCTATTTCCCTCATAGCGGCCTCCGCTTCTTTTGCTTTACGTTCTGAAATAACAAAATTAATATATAAATGTCATCATAAACTATTATTAAAAATATTTAACTGTTTCCTATAGTAAAAACCATAAATTTTCTATTGTAAATAACACTTAGCTAATCTATAAAAATATAAAATACCCAAACTAATTGATTGTATCATCAAAATTGAGCAATAATATAGTAATATGGTAAACCCCAAATAAATAATGTTTTGAAAATCAAATAAAGCTTGAAAATCAACTAAACATTGAAATAGGATGGGAAATTTTTATCATAAACAGACTTTTTGTGTTCAAGTTATCAATTTTTATGTTATCCATACCTATAGTTATCAATGCGCTCTGACAATCTCTTAAAATCTCCTTATTTTTCTAAATTTTTATATAAGAAAAATGCCACTACAAACAAACGTAATAATAAAATACGATTTTATTATACAACACTAACTAACCCTGCTCCCTCCACACAGCATCCTCATCTTGAGCTTGCAGCTGTGCATCTCTCAAAGTACGAGCTCGTCTCGCTCTGAGCCCTCTCAAGATATCCCCCGCCCGAGCCGCCGCGACACGGCGCTCCCAGGCCGCCACTCGTAGACTTACTCCATCGCCATTGCGAGGAAGACCCGAATCCTGTAAAAACAAATATTATACTTAAAATATAACATGATTTTAATTAGAATAGAATTTGCGCTCACATGTTTATCATTTACTTTTGAGATTACTCGAATCGAGTTACGAGCGACTTACGTAACAGTGGTAGCGGTAACGAACGTACAAAACAAACTTTATAGAGGGTAGACACTAGACTAGAGATAAGTCTGCCAATAATAAGTTTAACATCCACCCGCAAAGTCAATTGGTATACAGTCAGTATCGATATTACCGATACAAAAAAATATCAGAATGACATATTTGAAAAAAAAGTAGTTAAAAATATCTTAAGTGGTGTCAATTTTCGAAGAATTTCGTAATTTTTTTGTAATAAAAAAAAATGAGATACTTTCTTTTCTTTTTTTTTTACTCGAGTAGTCATGAGCAGGTCCACCTTCTGGTACTCGCTTAACGTTGAATTTTGTGACACGTTGTATATGGCTATATTGATTTCTATAATATCGTTTTTTACCTCACCTTCGGTTCACTCGGGATCATCCTTTAAGGTACGTAGCAATAGCCTATGGTATTACTTCAGGTCCAAACATTTTAGCGTTAAGGAATAACAAATATACATACACATACAAACTTTCGCATTTCTAATAGTATTCCAATTATACTAGAAATACCGTTAAAGCTTTATGATATAAAAAACAAAAGTTATTTATTTTCTTTCAGGCATCAAAATCATGTTTGTTGCGTCTAGCCCCTAGGACGCACAAGTCCATGACCTAATAATAGATACAGAAAACTAGGTCGTAGGGTGACATTTTTGATATAATTTTTCAATTCTTTCTAATTTACACATTTGCTTCTCTATTGGCTCAACAAAAAAAGTCCACTTATTTCTAAGTATTATACTTACTTGTATAACATCTCTCTTCCCTTCAATGAAATTGAACTGTAAAGTGTTTTTCTTAAGATTCAACTTCAAGTGTTCTTCACAATAGTCTTTTTCTTCATTATCACTTTTCTCCTTCACTTCTGGTTCCAAAGCCTCGATACTCTGCCTCAGCTCATCTACTGAGCAATATAGATCCAGGGTGTCTTCCAGCGAATCCACGTTTTTTGGAGACAGATCGAACTTCTAAAAATTAATTATCATAAAATAAACGTATTATTTTATTTTAAGCCTTTCATATCATCTTTTTGAAATGAGTGATATTATAATAAAATTAGATAAATAATATAAATAATTTCATAACAAAAAAATAAAATAATACAAGATAAACAATTTAATGAATAAAAACAACTCTTAAGTATATAAAATTCATAAATATTATCTTTAAGATACACAGGCCGTAACCAATATCGGTTATGAGGTATGAACCCGCCGGCCTCTAACAAAAACAGATGGCCGGATAAACTTATCTATACATATAATAAAATCCTAACTGAGCCGAATCTGTACATTATTTTTTTTTGGAAAATCTTATTGAAATAGTCATTATTATCGATACAGAGGCCGAATCTATAGTTTTTAGAATTTTTGTCTGTCTGTCTGTCTGTCTGTCTGTCTGTTACCGCATCACGGAAAAACCACTGGAGGGATTTTGATGAAATTTGGTACGGTGATAGCTGGTTATTCGGGTCAACATATAGGATACGATTTACTGCGGGAAAATATCTCATCTCTGAGAAATCTATACTAAACGTTGAAACGTAAGTAGGGACAAACCCGAGCGGAGCGAGGGTGAGTCGCTAGTACGTCTATATTATAAAACTTATAATTTCCATAATGGAGCATGGGTATGTTATATATGTATGTATGTACGTAATATGATTGCGGGACGACAGTTTAACCTCGACTTAGTTTAACCGTTGTTTTATAATAACTCCACTAAAGTTTATGCATATCATTCATTGTCTTTGAAAATCGATGGCTGTTACTCATAGCTTGCTTATTAGTTTTACAATGTTACTTTATGAGTATTCATACTCTGTACGTTAAATTTTCAATGCTAATTTCGGTCTCGCCATTTAAGAACAGAATTTCAATAATCATCAATAGCTATTGTGGTTAAAACAGAACACTTACAAAAGGCAATATAGAAAAAGCTAAACTACTTATTCAGCTAAAATGAAAAAAATCTGCTAAAGTACTTATAAACATAGAATATTTATTGTAAAAGTGTTTCAATAGAAAGAAATCTGACCTGTTCCAAGCTATCAAGAGGCTTGTAGTCAATCAAATGTGTGAGTTCCTTCTCAACGGATTTCCGAAGTTGGTGTGCTTCTTCACGAGCCTGAGCGAGAGCGCGTTGATGAGCTTCTTCAGCGAGAATGTTCTCAATTGACTGGTCATCGGGATGCTCTCCCATCACCCACACCTGGAAGTCAAAGATAAAATATTGGTCAAATTAAAGATCAAAATCCTGCATTGGAACATAATTACTAGGAGTTCAATTCCAACGTGGTAGACTATATCTCGATCTCCCTCGCATTGGAAGGAGGATCGTGATCAACAATGAGACGTTAAAAATGACTGAGTGATAATATACGTGATAACATACGTGTTTGTTTTAACAGCAATTTTGGGTCCTCTCAGCATCCTTTAAGAACTGTAGGAATATATAGCAGGTTTAAAATCTTACTAATTCTCGTAACTTTCAATATAATATAGCCTAAGATCCAACTATAATATCATACATTAATTCAATGGGAATTAAATGAAAGATTGTGTTTTCTTAACAATTTATCCATTCAATTTACGTTTATAAAAAAAAACATTTACAAGCAAGTCTTTGTGGTAGACTCTTGTATTATTTGGAAAGCATTAAAGCAAGTCAATGGAAAAATACCTTCGCTGTATTTACTCAGGTGACTAAAGTGGGTTAAGTTTATTGAGCCAAAAAACAACCTTGAATTTTCATTACCTACTAAAAACCTACCGAATTAATTGATAATAAACCTTGCGATATGTAGAATTCACTGAGATCTTTTATAATAATCTTTTAAAATTACATTAAGTAATTGGTTTATAATTTAATTATTACTAGCGCCTTACCTTCGCCTCGCTCAGGTACATTTAATTATTTTTAATTTTTTTGAATGGAATTCTAATTCTTTTTCGAAAATAACCTAATATAATAGTAGCGTAAGTCATATAATAAATAATATAATTCACGCAAAATAGGCGCATAGTTGTCGAGTTGCGGAAAACAGCCCGAACATACCATACCATACCATACCAAGTCATATAATAATAGCCTTTTAATATCAACTATCTGCTAGAGAAAGTCTCAAAGTCAATATCAATCCAGCCGTTACGAAGTATAGCCGGAACAATCAGACAGACAGACATTTTGACATAACAAACAGACACTTTAATTTTATTTATCTGTATAGATGTAACTCCTGTGACTTTACGTGCGTATGTACTCGTACCTAAAAATATTCTATTTATACATAGAATTAAGTAAATAACCGAATAACATGTTATATGACTCCTCTTTCATATGGAAATCTTCTACGTTCTTAAAACTCCAATATTATCTTTGAATCTATTTGAGCATTAGAAATGATATTTAAAATCTAATCATCTATGTCTTTAAATCATACCAAGAACGTACTGAATAATTAAAAATCTGTATAAATATTTTAAATGTGAAGGATTGTGCGTATGAATGTTTGTTACTCTTTCACGTCAGAACGGTAGAACCGATCTGGATGAAATTTGACACAGAGATAGATTATAGTCTGGAGTAACACATAGGCTACATTTTATCCTGGAAAAATGTACGGTTCCCGTGGGATAGGTTTGTTTTTGTTTTCCTAGAGGCGAACCCGAGCGAGGGTGAGCCGTTAGTATGTACATATATGTATTAAACCTAATCATAAACGATTTTAAGAATGAACTTAACCTTTTGTTGCTTTTGTAACAATAAATCCATAATAGTAGATTGAATAAATAATTACTTTTCAACAAAAAAATCTGCCGAAGATATCGAGAAACATTCACACACAAACATCCCTCTATTTTGATGTCCGTCAAAAACAATCCTTTGGTCAACATACAAGGTAATTAAATTACGAACTAGCAACTCACTCTCGCATCGCTCGGATTCATCCCTAGGTACGTTTTAACGGTTAGTATAGAATAGATAGACTATATATTATATGATATATAGCCTATAGCCTTTCTCAATAAACGGGCTATATAATGCAAAAAGAATTTTTCAAATCGGATTAGTAGTTCCTGAGATTAGCGCATTCAAACTTTGCCTCTTTATAATCTATACTTAATAAAGTATAGATTATAAGTACGTAGATATACTTATAAAAAAACATGCCCCTATTAAAAATAATGAAAATTCAACCTCATATTGTCATTAGGCTATACACAGATGCATTGGCAAAAAAAAAAAAACAGATGCATTGGCCATTAGATTACACAGATGCATTGGCCATTAGATCACATAAATTGCATTTAAATATCACTTAATTTAACAAACTGCTTCAGTCAATTCCATTCAAGGCTAAAGATATTAAACCAGGCGTTGGTATTTTAATGTTACGGGATTCATTTTAAGTTTTTTTATACACTACTAAATAGGTTATCTATAGCCTAAATTAAATTTAAAAAGAGGTTTTAATTTGACCGTCTATTGGTTTTTGCTGGCTTAATCGGTTAAATTATAATATTAAAAATATTTTGGTAGTAGAACTATTTACTTTTGTTTTTAATCAATTTACGTATGTTCTCAATAGTTGGTCAATTACTTTGAGATGTTTTGTGTAAATAAAAACATACCTAACCTAATATGTATTGTTCACAGATTTATAAACTAAAGTTTATAAATCTGTGAACAATACATATTAAATACAGTTAAATTTATATAATCATTAAGATGACATTTCAATGCTTAACTGCCTCTTTCCAATATAATGCTTAGTAAAATATTTTTTCATTTACGTTTAGGGCTGCACTAAAATTCCTATTTTTTTTTAGTAAAACATCAAATCTTTAAATTACTAGATAGAACTATTTCATTTAAATGTTTTTTTAAATAACTTACCCACGGTTCCCCATCCTCTCCCTTTAGAAATTGGACTTGCTTTTTGCCATTTGATTGAAATTTTGTTTGGCCATTCTCTTCCTTGCTGACCTTTTGATCCCAAGCTTGCCATCGACGCACCTAGAAGTGATACAGTAAAAATAGAACATAAATAATTTGATTTTAGAATAAATAACTATTTTCTTTACTTATCACCTGGAAATAATTTAATTTAGTGCTTAGAAATATTTATTACTTTTTCATTTTTAAACATTCTTTAATCTGATACAATATATTTAATCTTTAATCTGATACAGTGGTGGCTATCTAAAGCTATTATTGCTTTATTTAGTTTGAAATAAAAAAAAACAGCAGCTGTGCTTCTTTTTCGCATTTGTCACCAGATATCGATCCGAGGATCCTACCATCTTCAATTATAACGGTCACTACATGATCATCAGTCTTTGTGAAACGTAAAAACTAAATATGTTATATCCATGCTAATATTATAAATGCGAAAGCGACTCTTTCTATTGCGTTTTCGCACCTAAACCGCTGAACCGCAATTTGGATGATTTTTGGTATAGAGATAGATGGGACCTTGGAGAAGGACATAGGCTTTTTTGTCGCGAAAATAAAACAAAATCCCTCCACGACCGCGGACACGCCGGCGTTACAGTTAACAATAGATTTCTTAGAAATTTAATTAATTTTTTAGAAATTTTGAAAGTTCTTTTCTGCTAGAGACTAAGATGAGTTATAAGTATATTCTGGTATTACATATTATATATTACATTTATAGACAACTATCGACTCACCCTCGTTCCACTCGGGTTCGTCCCTAGTTACGTTTTAACGTTTAGTATAGATTTCTCAGAGAGGAAATATTTTCCAGCAGTAAAAAGTATCCTATATGTTGACCCGGCTTACCAGATATCATCATACCAATATTCATCAAAATCTGTCCAGTATTTTACCGTGACGCGTTCCCAGACAGACAGATAGATAAAAATCCTAAAATCTATAGATAGATAGCCTCTGTATCGATAATAATGACTGTTTCAATAACATTTTGCAAAAAACATTTAATGTACAGATTCGACTCATTTAAAATTTTATTACATATATGTATAGATAAACAGTAATATTTTATAATGAAGATCAAGGGAAACGAGTGTAGGAATATTATAAATAAAAAGGGTCTTTTAGGGGGTTCTCATAAGCGATCCTGCGACGCCCTATTAAGACGGGGGAAGGTTTTGTTGGGTTTTTGTGGGTATTACTGGCTTTACCGAAGAGTCCCACACCTCGTGCGTAAATGCATTTCCCAACGTTAAAAAAAAAGGACGTATCCGAAAGAAACGTGGGTAATCCACTAGTGCTCATATATAATCCTTTCATATTCAAGTGTTTATTTACCATCGATAATAAGTGCATGCCACACCTAAAAAATCCTATTACAAAGGAAGGTGCGACCTAAGGAGATTGTTAGCCGCTTGAATCATTATTGTAAGTTCTCTTACTGATTGTTGTTATTTTCTAAAAACATCTATTTATATAGTTATATCTAGTCTATTAATATTTATTATGAACAACCAATATTACTAAGAATTAATGCTCAATTTTGGAAATATATGCAATTAGGGTTATTTTCCACAACATAAAACCTATATGGTAAATAAATGTAAGAGTCAAGTGGTAACAAATTAATGTTTTTTTTTTATTCAGAATAATACTTATTAGGACAGTGGTATTAAATTTTAATGAAATAAAAAAAATCTTCGGACAAATTATAATTTTTATATAATATATTACGTAAATGCTTTGAATGCAGTGGTAGCCCAGTGGTAACGCGCTCGCATGGGAAGCCGTGTGAAGCGGGTTCAAATCCCGAGTCTTGCACTTATATTTTTATGTGTGAATAATTTGCAATATGATTACCACTTGTCTTACATTTTAGGAGAAAATCGTGAGAAAACCTGCATGTCTGAGAGAACTTAGCAAGTTTTGGAAAAACACGTGCAGTCCTCCACTTTGCCAGCGTGATGGACTATAGCCTAATCCCTCTCGTATAGAAAGCCCATGCCCAGCAGTGGGACATTAAAACGGGCTGAATAAAAATGCAAAAACATGTATGTATGTAACATTAAATAAGTAATATTTCGTTTATTTATTACATATCATTAACCAATGTACAAAAATATTAATATATTTACAATATATATTTTTTTCTACATAGATAGTATCAGTGTTATCTAACCGTACAAACAGAAAGTTGTTTTTGTAAGCATTGACTCATCTCTTACATGCTCAGTAATGATAAAAGAGATACCGCTTTATTACTAATCAAGTAAAATAAAATGTTGTTTATTTAAATGTACATAATCTTTGTTTTGATGCTTAAATACGCAGAAGTCAATCACACTACTCGTGTTACGTTTCTAATTTGCTTAATACTAGCAATTCTCTATCTCCACCTCCAGTCTATGTCTCCACCTTTGTTTATCTTGTATTTTTTTATATCAACAACCATATCGTATTAATGATAAGCACATTTCCTGCTGGAAGTTAGCAAAAGTAAGTACAACTGATAAAATCACCTGTCAATCTATAGAAAAATGGGTTCAAATTGGAAGTAGGGATACACTTTCAAATAAAACAAAAATTGTCCAAATCGGTTAATAAAGGACGGGTTTTGAGGTAACAAACATAAAAAAAATACAGCCGAATTGAGAACCTCCTTCTTTTTGAAGAAGTCGGTTGAAAAGGTTTATAGAATAATTCACAGACGACAAATTAATTAGAACTGTTAAACCTCTGTCGTCAATTCAAAGAAGCCACTAGGAAAATCTTATCATCGCCAATACCAATCAATATCTTTAGCAGCATGTTTCAAACTAGGTTTTAATAATTCTCACTGTTACTTATAAAAGAAATGAAGATGAGCCTATTGAACCGTTCTAGTACAGACAGATAAAAGTATTAAAAAGTGTAGATAGTGTGTAGGACGTTCCATAATATTCGCAACCTTCCCACATTAAAACTTAACAAGCAATCGACCTTTGTTATTTTTTAGCAAAAACAATATTATGTAAATGTATACAAATAACAGCTTTTTATTAAATGCGTATTAAATTATATATAGCACTTATAAAGAAACACACATTTTTTTAAATTTTTGTCTGTCTGTTTGTTCCGGTTAATCTCCGAACGAAACCGAAACCGAAACTAGACTGATTTTGACGGGACTTTCACTGACAAATAGCTGATGTTATAAGGAATAACTTAGGCTACTTTTATTTGATAAAAATAATTAAGTTTCCACTTAAAAAATTTAAACGTACCTCCCTAGGTACGTTTTAATTTTTATATATGCGTCCCTACGCATCCGAGCAAAGTGCGGATAAGTCGCTAGTTAAAAATATAAGATAACATTCTTGTCAAGATATTATTGAAACCAGCTCGTATATAAGTGAGTGGTCAACTAATTCTTGCACGATTGTCTAATCACAGCCTTGAGTCGATATCCTAATAATAAACGGATTTGCCATTCTCAATGCAAGAACAAGACAATAAAACGGCTAAACCTTGAAATTGTAAAGGATCTGCCAGTCATGAGTTTTAGGAGCAGAAGGTCAAATGAGCTGAGTTAAAGGTTATATTGTTATATAATTGTACTGCTAAGTGAATTTAAGGGCTAAGCCAAGTTGCTAATGTGAATAGAGACCTAAAAATATATCTAAATGTTATGAAGAATAAAAACTGCTATTATGTTTAATTTTCTACTAATAGGAAATCATTTATGCTTAGTGGCTACAGTGACTTGTTTTACTATTGTTGTTGATATTTTTTATAAATCCAAAATAGCAGAATTTTGTAAAGTATCATATATGAAAAATAATATTAATATACTTTGCTTAATTTGAATGTACTAAACAAACTTTTAGTTATTTAAATTTCGTAATCATAATGAACCTATAAGTACTTATTATTTAACGCGTAATTCAGTTTGACTTTTATACAAGACTATCTCAAGTTTTATTAACGTACCTAACTACCTACATATGTACATAATAGGTATATATTATTGGCGTGACAAAGACATTTTTTGACGTAGAGTTAAAATTTCTAGTACAATATATAAAATTTGCAGTCATTTTTTTAATTATTGTATAAATATATTTTGCTTGATTCTTTTTGTTGTATTTTTAAATGTAAATATTAAATATCGATATTCTATATGTACAGAAAAAAAATTGATTTGGAACAATTTTGAAATAGAGATCAAGGAACTAGTCTGATAAATAAATATTATATTTACAGTTTAGACTCAACATTTTTATTATACTACGTTACAATAGTGTTCTAAAAAGGTTTTTTATGTAAAATAAATGAACCATTTTTGTGGTTTGGTGACAAACTAACATAAAAAAACCCGAGCCTCTACATTTTTAAATCCACGCAGAAGTTTGCAGGTGTCGATGCAAAAGCAAATATACCTGTTCCTCGCGCATCTTGCAGAAGAGAGTCTGCTTCTGAGTCTCGTCGAGCTCGGCGAGTATCTCCGGGTCTACCCACATGTCTCGCAATATTTGCTGCAGCATGGTGCCGGTACTGAAAAGAAAGTTTTAAATGTTATTTAATTATTATTTTTTATTTATAAACCAGATAATATAGTAGGATTGTAAAAAATGGAAAGTAGATTAGAATTTTGCTATAGATAATTAAATAGTTAAGATCGTTGTCAGTACATTAGATAAAAACCTATATTTTTTTTTAATTTCTAAGATATTTATGGCATAAATCCAATTTTTTTAAATTCTTCTACTGATCCTTTAACAGCCAATCATGGACTCTTTTTAATTTAAAATTAAGCTCTGGTGTAAAGCAGTGTCCAGATTAAGAATAAAAAATAAAGTAAGTGATAAAAGCAGAAAAAAATAAGCAGGCTAAATAAAACTCGCATCTTTCAATTTAATAAACATTTTCGCTTTTAACTAAGCCGTAGTTATCTATTATCTTAATATTTTAATAGCCGTGACCGACGATATTACAAAAACACAGTAACACAGTATTTATTCAATGTTTGGGTGGCGCAATATTATAACAACTATTTTCAACCAGGTTACGTGTATTTTTTTCTAGTATTGCGAATGTTAATTATATACGAAAATTATTTAGTTTTTGCACAAATTTATCATATTTGAAAAGATTAGATAACATCTCCGTATAAGATATTGTTAGCCAACATCATTTTGTAATATATTAATCTGGTACAACTAAAAAGTGACCCTGATTACGCTCATTATTTAATCCCGCGGTCAAATCTAAAGCTGATCTACATTTAGATGGTTTTTTTGTAACGTGTTGCAATATCCCATGGGAATAAGTTAATTCAATGTATTAATAAAAACAATGTAGCCTACGCCTCTCTCTAACTCCACTATCTTTTCTAAACAAAAATAAGACAAATCGATAGACACGATACAAAGAACAGACAATATACAGACGATTAATCTATAGGTACTAATATTATAAGTTCATGAGTTTGTGATTTTGTGAATTGTGAGTTTGTGACGTTGTAGGGGGTAATCTCTGCACCTGCTAACCCGATTTAGTTGAAATTTGGTCAGAAGATAGTTTGAGACCTTGGGAAGGACATAGGATATGACATAGGAAATAGGAAGGTACCAGTAGGACATAGGAAAATGGGGATGAAGGTTTGTATGGGGAAGCAAGCTAGGGACGAACCCGAGCGATGCGAGAGTGAGTCGCTAGTTAAATTATATATTTAGACTAATTATAAAATCTCAAAAACTATTTAGCTAGGACAAGATTTTATCTTACACATTTAAAAGCATAACACTATAGTTTTGAATTTTATTCCAATTGTTTTGAATATTTACTAAACTATTTCCTTCTTTTTACGGATAACATCGGCCTGAACGCACAAAGTTCTGTCTTCAGCTATTATTCCTACATTTAGTATGACTTTGAAATTTAAACTTAACATACGTCCCATAATAAACTAGAGCCAATATATAATCTATTTTATCTTTTTTTTACTTATCTTTCTTGTGAAACATATCAAAATATCTTTGCCGAAGATTGACAGTGAAATGTACCTATATCTACTATTGTTATATAAATTCAGGAAAATACGCATATCATGATTCATGTGTGAAAATAAATTGTTATCAGTAGGTATTAGGGATTTCCCTAAAATATAAACAATATTCTTCTTTAATTTTCTTATTATGCTGATTATTGAGTGTCATCACAACAAGTTATTTTGCATTACAAAAATATTTATTTAATTTAATCTCCAACCATATAAAATTAAATAAGTACGGTTTAAGATTCTTAAGGTTATTTTATCAGTTAGTACATATTACGGTGTAGAAAAAATCGTGAGGAAACCTGCATGTCTGAGAGAACCTAGTAAGTTTTCGAAAGATATGTGAAGTCCGCCAACCCGCACTTGGCCAGCATGGTGGACTATGGCCTGATCGTATTGAAGGGAGCCCACGCCCAGCAGTGGGACGTTAAAAATGGCTGAATACATATATACATATATTTATATTTATTAAAAGTTATATCGAAAAAGAAACACGTGAAAGAACAGTGAGAATCGCTCAATTCGAAGTTTTACTTTAAAATATCGTACTTCATATTATTTAAGTAAAGTTCCAAGGACTTAAAGCTAAGTAAAAAAAGTACAAAACTTCAGTGTATTTAAGTCAGCTTGGCGGCCGTATGAATCATATTATTACTCGTTTAACAAAGATCCTTCTAAATTACCCATTGCTATTTTAAACTTTATTTCTTTGAAACAAGTGCTATCATCCTCACAGTTATATTCTTGAAGGAATCATGCCAGTCTAATTTTAAACTACGTGATCTGTGTTTCATATAAACACGACCTTTTTAATTTAATATCATAGTTGAAACAAAATTGATTGGTTTATTTTTCATTACAATACATCTATAATAACTAAACGAGTAAAAACCGCAACTAAATCGATCACCGATTCGATTAGTGTGATTGATTAAATTATAATGGAATTTTATGAAGGCTTTGTTAATTCCGCCATATTCAAAAACTAGGCTCACGAGGCCTGAGCTTGGGGTGGTAAAAAAGAGGGGCGGTAAAAATAAAAAAAAATGGCTAAAATTTAAAATTTTCAACCTATTCTTATTATCCTGTTTACTATCACTAGCAGTCATACTCATAGTTACATCAAAATCGATCCAGCTGTTTCAGCGTCAAAGACCAACAAAAAGACACATACATACATACGAAGTTTTGTATTTATAATAGTGATTCACTCGAAATAATGAAAGAGATAGCCGGCGACACAAATGTGGCGTACCCATTAGTGTTCCCAGAAAATGTGAACAATGGATAGAATATAAATAAGGGTATCCTATACAGTATGTGCAATACACATACATTATTCATGGCGCTCAAAGCTGGCGACGAACAGCTTTAAAGATTGCCTCAATTTTGCAAAGCTCAGACATGTCTCAACAAGTGACTTGTACTGATGTGTTGATGCAATAATAATATAATAAAGGATAATGAGGTCAATGCTTCTATACCCATATGAAAGGAGTAAATTGTAGACACTCTAATATCTTTGTAGCTATAGGAGATACATATAACAAAACTCTGAGTAGAATCTGTAAATTAAATATTTTTTGGAAAATCTTATTGAAATTGTCATTATTATCGATACAGAGGCTGAATCTAGAATTTTTAGAATTTTTGTCTATCTGTCTGACTGTGACCGCATCACAAGAAAACCACTGGACAGATTTTGATGAAATTTGGTATGATGATAGCTGATTATCCAAGTCAACATATAGGATACTTTTTACTATGGGAAAATGTCTTATCTCTGAGAAATCTATACTAAACTTTAATATGAGTGATGGCGAATTTGATTCGTGGTTTTTTACCTAAAAATATTTATTTAGACTTATACCACAAATGTATATTTAAAATCAGGGTTATCTGTTATTTCGTCCCTGTTTAAAGGAAGGCGGTACAACATTTCGTATCTTATCTTAATGATTAAATAAGCAATTCTTGTTATATATTTCAATTTATTTTGTGTATCTCGGAAACGGCTATAACGATTTGGATAAAATTTTGTATTTAGATAAGGTTTTGGTTTTTACTTTTTATCATATTTTTGCATTATATTAATGTACATAACATTTTTTCGTTATAAAATACGCACTGTACTGTTTGTGACAAAGCTTTATTGAAATCCTTTATGGAATGAAGTCGTGACTCGTGACGGACGCGTCTATTGCACGAGGGTAACGATGATTTTGTGCAAAAAATGGAGACGATTATTACTATTTTTGTTATTATTATCCTTCATGTGATATTTTATGTGCATGAAACCATGTGTGTTTTTAAAATTCATTTTACAAAGGCTTTGCATTATTAATTTTAAATATATTTTTTTATTAATCTATATTAATAATCTTTCTCATCTTAATGGATGCTCCTTTGAGAAATAAATAAGGACATAATAACTCCATACATTCTGTGCTAATATTTTAAACATTATAATATAAATTACAAGCAGATATGGAAATTAAATCTATTATTGTTAATCATAACATATCTTTAAGTATAGAAAAGGCTTAGATACTTTATCATGTCCGAGAAAACAACGCCACGATTGTATACGGAAAGTTGCACTTAAACGTAAGGTTTGTTTACTAGCAAATATTCGTTAGAAACATCATTTGTTTCATTTTTAATAAATTTCTGTCCATACTTTTAGATAAAACATTTTTCATTTATTTTTACTCGGCTACGAGGAAGCCCAGAAGGTTCCATGTATATGATGTGTACTTATATATGTACATAAACGTAGCAAGACTCGCAGCAAGGATAAAACATATACGACTCCCACTGCATAATACTATTTTCTTTCATTATTCCCTCCACGACCGCGGACACGCCGGCGTTACAGTTAACAATAGATTTTTTTAAATTAAAAGTGGGCTTACCCTTGATCTTCATCTTAGCTCGAAGCCATAGATAAGGTCTATGATCTAGCGAGTTTACTCAGGAGTAGCCTGTTAACACGCACCTTAAAAAGTTTCAGGCTATACACACTCTGAAAAACAGACGCAGGCAGGGCATTCCATTTCTTGGCTGTGCGCATTATAAAAGATGATGAATAGCGCTTAGTGCGAGTGGTCGGAATATCAACCAAAAAGAACGGTATCCTGCAGTACGTCTGGTGTTCCGATAGAAGAATGGCGCTGGCGGTATGAGACCATGGAGCTCGTGGGCACACTCCTCGAACTACAGTCTGTAGAAAACCGACAGACAAACCACCTGACGACGGTGTCCTAAGCTGTGAAGCTTAGTTTTCACGAGCTTTTTGTCGTCGATCAGCTTTTTGGCTCTGCGTTCCACCGAGTCAAGAGCGGCAAGTTGTTATTTTGCAGAGCCATCCCAAAGGTGACTGATGTGATGATGATGTGAACATGTGTATGATGTGTGAACTCCAAGTATGATCGGACTTGAGGTTTGTATAAAGTGAGAAGCTGTCCAGGCGTGAAGTATCGCTTA